CAGAAAAAAAAAAAAAAAGTAAAACACGATGACAAGATATTCCATTATACGGAGTTTCCTAAAAGCCTGCGTAAGTGTGGATTGTAATATTTATCTGTAACTCCTCCAGCCTCACCTCCTGAGAACAAGGGCACTTCACCTGAATAACCCAGTGTCACCCGCAGTGCTCACACCGGGAGGCTTTCAGCTGCATGTAAGTCCAGCTTCAGGTGTTCTGCCGCCCAGCACTTACATGCACACAGCTCCACACAGACACACACACTCACATCACAACAAAGGAAGAGGGGCAGGAGAGACTGTGCAGTGGTGAAGAGTTACTGGCTGCTCTTGCAGAGGGCTCCAGTTTGATCCCAAGCCCCACATGGCAGCTCACAACCATCTGTAACTCCAGTTCCAAGGGATCCGACACCCTCTTCTGGCTTCGGAGGGCACTGTGTGCACACAGTGCACAGACATACATGAGGGGAAGGGTAGCCTGGCAGTCATGGGACAAGGAAAACCAAAGCTCACACAAGAGACTTACTGGTAAAAACACAGGAGGGTGGTTTTAAGTTGCCTCTGCTTAGGAGAGAAGCAGCAGAGAGCTGAGTGGGAGGCAAGCTTTATATAGGGTTTCCTGGAGGTGTGGGCAGAGCTTTCCAGGCTGGCCTGGAATTGGTGGGATTTTGTGGCCATATCTTTAGCTTCTTTACTCTGCAGGGCGGAGCTTGGTTGCCAGCATCTAGAGGGGAGGGTTCAGCTGTTAGAGCATTCTGGGGAGCAGGGCCTGGCAGGTTGAAGGTCCTCAAGAGTACTGGGGTGGGTGGCTGGCCACTCCATGCCTTGAGGGGCTTATAGGCAAAACACCCCTGCTTTTGTTTTTTCTTTGTTTTAATTTTCACATAAAAGTCAATCTTTTTTTTTTTTTTTTTTTTGAAAGAAAGGGGAAGAACTCTGACGTTCTCGGACATTGCAGAGTGCTCTTTGAAAGAATTCCTGTGCTCTAGGGATAGACAAGCAGAATCTGCACTCCATTCAGAAACATCAAAGCCATACTCAGAGGGAGATCTGTAGATTCAAATCTCAGAAGGAGAAAACAAGGTCCAAAAGAAAATTAGCAAATGATTCAAGAAGCAAGAAAAAGAATCACAAACTAAGTGCAGGACAAGTTGAAAGGAGACACTGATAGAAGCTAGGGAGGGGGCAGAGTCTCGGTGAGACACGGGTTGTTTGAGGGAGCAGGCTTTGCAGACACACACCTTCCTTTCATCTCTGTTCTTGGGACAGGGTCTCATGTAGATCAGGCTAGCCTCAGCCTTACTGTGTGGCTGTGGCTGGCCTTGAACCACCGCTTCTTCTGCTTCTACCTCTGAAGAACTGGGATTGGGTTCGCACTACAATGCTCTGCTGTCCCTCCTGTCTCAGTGCCTAAAACACAGCCACCAAAGTTGAAAGGGAGTATGGATGCACGAAGATGGGTTTTTACCTAGTGAGCCTGAGAGACAAGGGTGTTGTGGGGGCAGCTCCTAGGAACCATGTCACAGGGTGAGCCCAGTGTGGTTTGACACCCACAGACCCACCCCCAGGGTTCTCTCACTTCCCACTGTTCCCACTCCCTCGGTTCCCACTGTTCCCACTCCCTCGGTTCCCACTGTTCCCACTCCCTCGGTTCCCACTGTTCCCACTCCCTCGGCTCCCACTGTTCCCACTCCCTCGGTTCCCACTGTTCCCACTCCCTCAGTTCCCATGTTCCCACTCCCTTGGGTCCCATGGGCCTCCCCCTGCAGAACCACGTCAGCCTTAGATCTGCCTTCCTCTGGAAAGGAGAGTGGGACCCCACATAAGCTTCCTGATGAGTACCTTAGCCTCTGTGGTTGCAGAGGTCACAGGGAGCTCCATGGGGACAGCAGGCTGTCCTCTGTGTAGTGGACTGAATTCTCTAACAAGATCCCATGAGAAGGGGACTCCTTTGTCAGATGACGATGCTCATAGCTGCTCCCTGCATCCTACCGCCCAGGTCCCAGACAGACATCTGTATGCATGTGAGCTGCTGGAATGAGCACCTTGACCCTCTTGTCATAGAGGAGGGTGTTTAGCTCAGATTAAGTCACTTACTGAGGGTCGCATAGCAATGGAGTGATGGAGTCAGGGCTTGGTGGGTGTGACTGCATTAATGCACTGAATCAAGTTCATAGGACACCTGTCAGGCAAATGGGTGGATAACTGAGTGAGGGTCCAATATCTTAGGGGTGATGCTAAGGTTGAGAGGAAGGGCCTGACGTCTAGAGGAGGAGCTAATATCTCGGGGAAGGGCTGATTCATCCAGAGGGCCCATCTTTCTACTTAAGAGCCTGTGACTTCACTCTTCTTATTCAACAAGCACTGGCTTGGCACACAGTAGGTACACAGGCCCCTTCCCTGTGGGCTGAAGCTCCAGGAGCTTGCAGCACAGTGTCAAAGCCATCACCTTACTGGGAGGCTTTGTTCTTAATCACCTCCAGTGTGTCTCTCCAGGAAGGCAGGAGGTGGCAGGGGAGGCAGAGCCCCCAGTGTAGGCTGGTTTTATCCTCCCAGCCAGAGGAGACAGTCTGTCACCGATGTTGGGAAATAGCTGTCATGAGCTCTTCACCCCCTGACATCTCCCCACCCAGTGTGGAACCTGCCCTGGAAACAGGTGCAGGGCCTATGGCTGTTGCCCCAGAGCCTGCGTTTTCTCACCCTGTGACTGTTCAGAAGGTCTGGAAGACCCACTGCCCAGGCAAGATTCGACCTTAGACCCAGGGAGCCTGCAATAAGTTGTCCTCTAATGCCAGGTGTGATTTCTGGTTCTCATTTTTGTCTACGACCCCTGGTCCCACCCATCCATAACAGCTGTGAGTGAGGCTGTGCTCCACACTCAGTCATTTGAGTTTGGGAGCTACAGGATTGACGCCGCTTTGAAAATAGGGCCTCTGGCTAGGGCAGGCTGTCATTCTATCTACCTGAAGGCAGGAGGATCCTGAGTTCAAGGCCATTCTGGGCAACTTAACTTAGTGATATTGTTTTAGAAACAAACAACAACAACAACAAAAATAAACAACTAGGGACGGGTGTGTCTCAGCATTAAAGCCCCTGCCCAGAATCCCTAAGCAAGGGCCTGGGTGCATGGCTCAGCAATAGAGTAAGCTGGTAGTGTAGACAAAGCAATCCATTCCCACCCAATGCAGCACTGAAAAGAGGAGGAGGAAGCAGGAAAAGGGAAGTCCTATGAGGCTTCCTGTGTGCAGGCTGCTATCTTCATTCTGGAGGTTCAGACCCTGGGGAGAAAGATCAACCCCAAACCAGAGACTGGGCTGGGTAAGGCTGGAAGAGGCCTCTGTGAAGGGAGGGTGTGTGTGTGTGTGTGTGTGTGTGTGTGTGTGTGTGTGTGTGTGCGCGCGCGCGTGTGTTGGGATTTGTCTCAAAGGCTCTGGGGCTATGTGAGGTCTGTGAGCAGGAAAGGATGAGGGGGGGGGCGCAAAAGGAGTGGGTGAGCAGGACAGGAGGAAGCAGGCTGGACTTGGGACAGAGGAGGCAGCCTTTGAGTGGAGAGCCCAGACTAGGAGCTTGAAGAGAGCTGATGAGCAGAGTAGGTTAGCGTTAGCTCAGGGTTAGGGTGGAAGCTGACTGCAGGCTCCATTCCACACCCCATTCTCCTTCCTTGTCTCCTCCCCACTTCCCACAGCAACCCCAAGACAAAGCCTGGCCTAACCCACTTCCTCTTCCTCCACCCACACCATTGCCTCCTACCGAAGCCTAGCCACGCCCTCCAATCCTCCCTATTTAGGTACTCAAAAGTGGTGCAAAGATATACAGGCAGGCAAAACACTTATAAACATAAGATCAAAATTTAAACTTAAAATTGTATTTATTTATTTACTTGGGAGGTGTAAAAGCATGTGGTATTTGTGTGAAGGTCAGAGGGCAACTCGTAATTTCCTGTGCTCACATTCAGACTGTTAGGTTTTGTGACAACTATCTTTTTTTTTTTTTTTTTTTTAGATGGGGTCTTATGTAGCCAGGCTGGCCTCAGAGTTGCTAGGTAGTTAAGGGTGATCTTGAACTTCTGATCTTCCAAGTACTGGGATTACAGGCCTGTGTCATTATGCCCTGGGTGCCACTCAGTGAAGTTTTGAACAGGAGTATGTTATCTGCAGCAACAAGATGATGCCAAATTCTATACCAGAATGTTAGAATAGCCAGCAGGCTATGTGTGTGTGTGTGTGTGTGTGTGTGTGTGTGTGTGTGTGTGTGTGTGTGTAAGCAAGCATGTGGCTTATTCTGGGAACCACAGTGCAGAGGAAGGGAAGTGTTGGCCAGGAGGCTGGTGAGGTGGGTAGAGTCACAAGGCACAGAACCCTGAGAGGCGCTGACCCTACCTGGGAGTACTGAGATGAACAAGCCCTTCTTCCATTCTCAGAGTGGGGAACTGAGGCCCAGACTGGGTGGCCTCTCTGGTTTCCAGCCAAGTCTGACTCCTTTTATTTGTGAGCTCACCAGGCATTTAAACTTTGGGTCAAGAGAAGTCCAGACCACCAGCTGCTGCTTGGGTGTCCCAAAGACATCCCACACCTACTGACCGGTGAGCTCAGAGCATGAGGGGTGGGAGTAAGTGGTGGGCCTGAGTCTAAATCTGGAGTTGACACCCAAGAGTCAGAGGACTGAGGGATGGGACAGCCCTCAGGTCTCCAATCCTCATGGCCTTGGTGGCTTTTCATCCTGACTGACTGGCCCTTGAACTTGAAGTGTCTGTGTTCTTCAGAATGGACTGAGGAGGTAGGGAAGAGGGGAGGGCCTGGAGAGTGAGGGACAGACAGGAGGGGGCACAGCTGAGAAGGGGAGTGCCAGGTAGGATATTCCCTTCCTAGACTCAGGAGCACTGGGGAAACATAGAAGATGCAGGACAGGGGAGGGTGTGGAGGTCAGCCCCGCCCTGCATATCAGAACAGACTGAGGGGTCATTGGAGAGGAGGGGGAGGGCTGAGCTGGGTCACTGTGACGAAGGCATGAAGGCATGATTTGTCAAGATGGCAGACTGGTGGCAGGTCCCAGAAACAAAAAAGAGAGGATGACACCAGGATCTGGGGGCACTGGGACTGTCCCTGAGGTGCCCATCTGAGAGGCTTGGGACAGTGTGTATGTGTGTGCGCGTGGACTCTCTGATGTGGAGGCTTTGTTTGTCCCTCTAGCTCCAGTCAGCCATGGAGAGCCCTGTGGAGATGCAGCAGCCTCTGGAGATTCTGTACCTGCCCTGGGCAGTTCTCTTTCTCCTTTACTCTCTGGTGGCAATTGTCTCTTACCTCCTGGACATGGCCAGCCACAGCCTGCTGGCTCAGGCTGGAGAATCCCTCCTTCCTGTCTCTCTGTCTGCAGCCTGGTTTGGCCACCAGCTCATTGCTGACATCATCTTCCTGGGGCTCCTGCCTCTCAGCCTCACCTGGACCCACACCTGCTGGCCCCTGGGCCTTGCCTTCTGCCACCTGGATCCACGTCTGGCCTTCTTGACTTTCAGTGCTAGTGGCCGGCTGCTGACTCATGTGGCTGCTGACCACTGTACATCCTTGCTCCAACCATCCTGGGCACTGGCTCATCGTATAGCCCGCCAAATAGTTATCTGGGCTGGTAGGTTCTGGATCCTTCTGCTGGGCCTGGCTGTGAGAGCCTTAGGAACTTTGAGGGATCGAAATGGCTGCAGTGACCCTTTCAACAGGACAGTGACCCTGGAATCCCCTAGGCATGGCCAGGACCCCTCAGCCTGGAGCCCTGAGCTGGATCAACTGGTGTTTGGGTTTGGGGTGCCACTGGGGGTACTGAGTGTCTTCCATAGTGTGGTGCGGGAGCAGCTGCAGCTGGCCAGGGTCTCAGGGAGGCCTCCGTTGCTAAGCTCGCCAAGGGCCACTGCAGTCATGCTGTTCATCTCTTGGTTTCCCTTCCACCTGCTGCTGCTGCTCAAGTTCCTGGGCATGTGGGGGTCCCGACTGCAGCTGGAGGATGTGTGGGTGTTGCTGAGCCCTCTGGGGCTCACTCTGCTGGGATCAACTAGCTTCCTCAACCCACTGTTGTATGTGTGGGGGGACAAGGAAATTCGGAGATGGCTGCGCAGGGCCTTACGGTTCCCTCCAGAAGGAGAGGAGGCAGAGGAACCCAGGCATTAGGAGTGGAGGCTGAGAGGCTCTGGGGCAGCCTGAGGGAGTGGGGCACAGTCTGGGGTGGGCGGCTCTTGTCTTGGCTGAAACAAAGGCACAGGAAGTGTAGTGGGGGGAGAGAGAGACTTAGAAAAGCAGGACGGAGACCTGGGGAAAGAGATGGGGGGTGGGGGAGTGGGAGTCACACAGAATGTGGCAGACAGAGGTCCTGACAGGGAGCAGGGGTGACAGACAGGAGGCTCCAATGAGGTATGTAAATAGAACTGGTGTAGGAAGAATTGGGAGAGAGGGGCAGGCAGGCAGACTGGGAGACAACAGGTATGAGGTAAGCCAGCTGCCCTGGCAGGGACATGAACACAGGAAGTGTGTCCTGGTCACCAGCCACCCCTGCTGGCCCAGGACTGAGGAGTTCCTGTGGCCCAAAGCCCAGCATGGGTGCTGGGACAGTCCCACATTATCCACAACCTGGATGATTGTCCCACTGGGACCAGCCAGCCCTGGACCTCTGCTTTCTGGCCAGGTGTTAACTATCTGTCTTCTGGGATTTTGAAATTCCCAAGTCCCTTCTAGCTACACCTCCCCTTTGGGGATGGAACCCAGGGCTTTGAGCATGCTAGAGAACAGCCCTGCCACTGAGCCACACCCCAGCCCTCATTGGGGGACTCTGGGCAGGGACTCAACCACTGAGCCACACCCCAGTCCCTCACTGGGGGACTCTGGGCAGGGGCTCTACCAGTGATCCATGCCCCAACTCACTGGGAGATTCTAGAAAGTGCTCTCCTCCCATGGCGTCTCTCAACCACCAAAGGTGAACTCCACCGAACTCTAGGTTTTTGTTGTTTTTGTTTGTTTTTAAAGACAGGGTCTCATTCTGCAGTCCAGGCTGGCCTCAAACACATAATGGTCCTTCTGCCTCAGGGCTCCCTTCCAGAGCTGGGATGACCAGCTTACACACCACCACATTTAGCTATCCTAGCCTTTGACACTGTCAAAAGATGCCGGATAGAAAGGGGGAAATTTAAGTAGCTGAGCCACCAATTAAGAGTCAAGAATTCTAGCACAATCATTATTTGCAGGCCAGCATGATAGCTCAGTGGGTATCAGTGGGTAGAAAGGCACCACCAAGCCCAATAACCTGAGTTCAATACCCAGGACCCACACAGTGGAAGGAGAAAACCGATGCCCGCAAGTTGTCCTTTGACCTCTGTGTGAGTGCTGTGGCACACAGGCCACCTTCCTCCCAACCAAAAACAACAAAACAAAATGAAAACACCAAAACCTTTTGTTCTGATGACTGCCTATGAAAAACGAGTATTCCTTCTCCACGGAGCTATTTTCAGTACAAAGGTTAAAATAGCAGTGAACCTTGCGTCTGCGGCCAGGCTCCTTTCAAAGCTGTCAACTGCAAACTTTATTTTGAGAGCAATTTTCTGGGGGATCTCACAAACAAAAGTATAAACTTGGTGTGCAAATCGAAGCACCCCCTGGTTCCCCTGTGGACTATGGTTTCATCTTGACAGCTGATGAACCCAGGAAAATGTCTTGGCATGGTTTTGCAAGAAAAGGGAAAAAATGCCAGAAACTTCCAGAAAATAAAGTTGAATATGTGACTAGACACTTAAGGGTGATTCTGTCTTGAGAAGCCCATACCCAGGTGTGTAAGCCCCTCCCCTAGGCCTTTCTCTAACACCCATGTGTGTAAGCCCCTCCCCTAGGCCTTTCTCTAATATTTCAGAATCTTGTCGTGGGGCTGGAGAGATGGCTCAGAAGTTAAGAGCATCAGCTGCTCTTCCAGAGGATGTGGCAGCTTACAACCACATGTAACTTAGCTCCACGGGGGTCGATGCCTTCTTCTCTCCCCATGGGCACTGAGCTCATGTGCAGACACATTGTAAAAATAATAAATGTATTTTTAAAATCTTACTTTGTATGTGTTTATGATGGGTATGCATTCATGTGAAAATGCTGGTCTGCCTGTGGCATGACAAGCATTTGAAGCCAGAGGCAACCTGAGGATGTTGATTGCTGCCTTTCACCTTAATTGAGACAGGCTGCTGTGGTGGTTTGGATGAGAATGGCCCCATAGGCTCATAGATTTGAATGCTTAGTCACCAGGGATTGGCCGTGTTTGAGAAGGATTAAGGAGGAGGAGGTATGGTCATGTTGAAGGAAGTTGGGAAGGGTTTTGAGGTTTCAAAAGCCCACACCAGGCCTAGTCTCTCCTCTCTCTCTCTCTCTGCCTGCTGCCTCTCTGTCTGGGGATCGGTGGAGGACTTGCAAAATAGATGCTGCAAAGGGCACTTCAGCTGTGTGGGGCACAGGGGGTGGAAAGCCATGGCTGTAGCTGCTCAACAGTTGTGAGTTATGGGGCTAAGGATAGAGCAGAGAGGCCTGGTGGGGCCCTGAGAGCTCGGAGGCTCAGCTCTCAGCCACTTCTCCAGCTCCAGGCCTACCCATGTGCCCCTACACTCCCTACCATGAGCATGGACCAGCCCTGTGAAACTGTTAGCAAACTCCCAATTAAATTCTTTGTTTTATGTCACGCTGTCTTGTCACATCAATGGAACAGTAACTTAGGTGTCTTTGTATTTGCCACTGTGCAAACCAGAGTAGCTGCCCTTGGAGTTTCCAGGGATTCTCCTGAGTATACCTTCCATCTTGGCACAAAAGTGCTAGGCTTCCAGCCTCATGTTGCCACACCTGGCTTCATGTGGGTTCGGGATGTCAGACTCTGGTCCTCATTTTACCTAGCAAGTACCTTTAACCCGCTAAGCCATGTCCTTGACCCTAAATTGTTTTCTTTTTTGTTAGAGATATACTTTTAACATTTCGTGCATGTGTGTTTTATCTGCATTATGTCTTGTGCATCACACATGTGCAGTGCCCAGTGGGTCAGATCCCCTGAAACTGGAGTCACAGAGGATTGTAAGTTGCCTGCTGTGTGTTTGCTGGGAATCCCACCCAGGCCTTTACTCTTAACTACTGAGCCACCTTTCAGCCCTAAAATCGTAATTCCAACTCTGTTTCACACTGACTCACGAGGCTGGAGAGATGCTCAGTGTTAAGGCACCTGCTGCTTTTGCAGAGGACCTGTGTTAGGAGTTTGTTTCCCAGCACCCATGTCAGGCAGTTTGCAGCATGTTAATCCAGCTCCAGGGGATCTGACATCCTCTTGGCCTCCATGCGCGCAAGCACACACACACACACACACACACACACACACACACACACACACACACACACACAACCATATACATGTAATTTAAACAAAAGCCAGGGGGGGTGGCTCGTCCTTTTATCCCAGTAGGGACAGGCAGATCTCTGTGACTTTGAGGCTAGTCTGTTATATAGTGAGTTCCAGCTAATTGGACTCAGAAATAAATAATTGATTAATTAAATTATAACATTTAAAGCACATAATGTGCTGGGCAGTGGTGGTGCACACCTTTAATCCCAGCACTCCGGAGGCAGAGGCAGTCGGATCTCTGTGAGTTCAAGACCAGCTAGTTCCAGGACAGCCCCCAAAGCCACAGAGAAACCCTGTCTCGAACCCCGCCCCCCCCCAAGCACATAATGCAGTTCTGACACATAGCAAGTATTTATTTATTTTTATTTTTTCGAGACAGGGTTTTTCTGTGGCTTTGGAGGCTGTCCTGGAACTCTCTCTGTAGACCAGGCTGGTCTCGAACTCAGAGATCTGCCTGTCTCTGTCTCTGTACTGGGATTAAAGGCGTGCTCCACCACTGCCCGGCTTGCAGGTATTTATTTTTAAAAATAAAATAAACAGTGAAAAAAATTTTAAAAGTTCCATCTTTGAGTAGAGGTCCCTGAAAGAATTTCTCAGGTAGCAGAGCTCAGCTTCCTCCCAATAATGAGCAGCCTCAGAACCCCAACTGCCCATTCATAGTGCCCTGGGGAGCTTTCAGAGCA